GCAACCAGCACGCTTGCCAGGTGCAGTCCTGCAGTGCAGCTGCTTGGCATGCACAAGGCCCCAGCGCCAGGCCTGGCACTGTCCAAAGCTAATAACAAGCCCGGTACTGGTGGCTCACATCTGTGCTGCTAGCCACTTAGGAGGCTGAGATCTGAAGACCACGGTTCAAGGCCAGTCTCGGCAGGAAAGTCCATGAAACTCTTATTTTTAATTAGCCACCAAAAATTTGGAAATGAAGCTGCAGTTCAAGTAGTAGTAGCGTGCAAATAATAATTATTATTATCACTATTACAGTTATTATTTAACTTGCATGGAGAAATCCTCAAAAGTTCTCAAGAGAAACTTCCCTGAATTTTGAAAGACCTTTCCGTAGAAGTGTTGCAATTTCTTGTGTTAACTGTGCATTTCAGATCCTGCACACAACACCTGCCCGGACCCTGGCACACCCCACTTTGGAATACAGAACAGCTCTAGAGGATATGAGGTACTTTATATGTTGTTCTCTGGAAATAAAAAACACAAAGATATTTTAGTGTATGTGTACACTGTTGTGTAATGTGTATTTACTATATTCAATGAGAATTTCTGACTATTTTCTTTTTCCGGACGTGGGGCTTGAACTCTGGGCCTGAGCGCTGTCCCTCAGCTCTTCAGTTCTAGGCGAGTGCTCTACCACTTGAGCCACAGCACCACTTCTGGTTTTCTGGTGGTTTATTGGAGACAAAAGTTTCACAGACTTTCTTGCCTGGGCTGGCTTTGAACGGCGATCCTCAGATCTCAGCCTCCTGAGGAGCTAGGATGACAGGTGTGAGCACTGGCGCCCAGCTGAGAATTTCTGACTATTTTACCTGTCACCATCAGGGTATCAACAGACAACTTAGTTATTGTTGTAACATCAGCTGTGTTCACTTCTACTTAGAGATATAGATAGTTGGACATTTTTGTGGATTTTAAAAGACATTTCTCATAGTGCAGTTGCAGCTGACCAGTCAGATGTAAGACTCCATTTGAGGAGTAGATAGAATGGGCCAAAGACAGTAATTTTAGGAGATGAGCAGAAGAGTGTGTCCTTTTATATTATAAAGGTGATGAATAGGGTGTTACAGATACGTAAGTAAGGTGATGAGTGCATTTCATTTTGACTCCGTTACCTCCTCCCTCATTTTCTCCTGCTTTCCTCCCCACTCTCCTCTCCCCACCCCAAGTTGTAAAGCTCATTTCCCACCTGGTGTCTAGTGAGTATCAGTGTTGCATTAGTTCACCCTTCGTCCTGTTGTTGTGGCTCAGTGCTAGAGGGCCTGCCTAGCAAGTATAAAGCCCTAAGTTCAAGCCCTAGTGCTGCCAGGAAAGGAAAGAAGATAATGATCATGATCAATGAGGGTGTGTTCCGCCCTCTGGCCGCTCGCCTGTGCCTGTGCCCTGTGCCTGATCTCGAGAGTGCCGTGGGCCCATGGATTCATAGCACAGGAATGTCACCAGGATTTGGACCTTTTAATAAAGGCACATTAACATCCCCATTAGCATTGAGAAACACTTGACATGAGAGCTTGAAATGTTTCGGCCACCTTAAAAGCTCAGGTATTGAACATCACAGTTCTCTTGCGACGTGAATTGGAATACCCAGGCTCACTAGGCATGGTTCCAGTTTGGGAATCTAGAACGAGAAGCGTGCCCCAGCGGCCCTCCACCTCCCGCCCACCGGGCACCCATGCCTCTTTCTGTTTCCGGCACCCTGCTTCCTGCCTGGGGGCAGGAAGTTCTCACAGGTGATCCCAGCACTTTTTGCAGTGTGTCCCAGACACAGAGCTAAAGTGTCATCCAGATGCTTTCTGGCGGGTAAATGTCTAATGCCAAGTCTCTGAGAATATGAAAAAATACACCAATGTTGTTCTCACCAAGTCACTGTGGAGAATGGATGTGATCACCACTGATCAATGTAGCTGAGGTCTTAGACCTGTGAGAGGCAGGACAGTGAATTCTATCAGCCTGCTGCCAAGTGGAACTCGTGCTTGGAAATCCTGTGCAGCCCACAGCAGTGGAGCACCAGGGGAGATGAGGAGGGAGGAGGGAGGAGGGGGAGGGAGGAGGGAGGGTGCTCAGACATGGAGAGCACAGCAGTGGAGCCCCAGGGGAGATGAGGAGGGAGGAGGGGGAGGGAGGTGCTGGGGGGGGAGAGCACAGCAGTGGAGCCCCAGGGGGGGTGAGGAGGGAGGAGGGGGCGGGAGGCGCTTGGGCATGCAGAACACAGAGGGCGGCCAGTGGTCTTGGTTCCCGCACTGCTATGCTGGGAAACCCCCTGAGTTCTGATGAATTCTTACCCAGGCCGGGCAGCTACTGAAGCAGTGCCCTCACTCGATTGTTTAAAATGTGACTAGCAGAAGAACAATTGTTAGAGAAGAACAATCCCTACCAAACACTAAATTCAGGGCCCTCGCTCTACAGAGACGCTCTTTCTTTACCTGGTAGCGCATGTGCAGGTCTCGCACACCCCATTGCTCTGAGCATGTCAAGTTCCCAGTGTGGTCAGAAAGCGCTTGCTGATCCAGGCAGCCAAGCGGGGGTGGCGGGGGGG